AGCTTGAGCAAGGGCGGGGCCAGGCTGTATCAGGTTAACTACCATTAAGTACATCTACCTCGTCCCACCTGAATGACCGGACCACCTCTGACATCAGCCATGTGTTGAATCATGTCAAGCCCAACTGTCCAGAAACCCTCTTTTGACGCGCCGAAGCGTAAATTCCCCCCAGCCTCTGCCACAACGCGCCTGAGCCCTTGATACCTTTGCAATCTGTAACTTTTCCCTTCCATTCTGTCCCAGCTTTGGCTCTTCTCAGCATCTTCATATCTCATTCAGGGGCCGTTTTCTTCATTGGAGGCCTCATCCGGTCGCCCACCAAGGCTTCCTCAGTTTATATTTCTTTTTTTCCTCATACAGCATCCCTCTGTCCTTCAGCCGATCTCGTCAACCCAGAAACTTTGTAGAATATCCAACCCTCCGGCCTTGCCCCGTCGCTACCGTACCCCTAACCGTGGAGGTCGAAAACACGACTGAGAGCTCAAGATCGAGGCACCGGTGCCCCAGCCTTTGTCGAACGCTCTAATTAATGTGCCGGCGAAATGTCCTACGTATTTTGTCTGTGGCGATTCGTCGTAGGTCGAGTTGTTGGTGCCCTTGGCCGAGGTGAGGACGCATTTAAGGCTGGTATTTCGGCCGTACCTTCACAGTGGCTAGCAGTTGCGGAGGGTCGTATATCGTCTTACTTCTTTGTTGGCGATTTGACTTATGGAAGTATGGGATTGCTTCGGTAGGTGGTGAGATGATTGTTGAGAGGGCCGCGGGATGAGTTCGGCTAGGAATGTTTTTCCAGAGAAAAAGAAAATAAGATCTTGAAGGTGTCGGTTGTTGTAATACGAACATCAGACAGGTTATAGCCTGTCTGCGGTTGGTATCTGGGGTGTAAATGGTCGATTTCGTTGAGTTGTGCAATCGTTGAATCTCTGCAAGTCGGATTTCCATCACATATGAGCCAACACCTCTCCTCCCGATCGCCAACTCGACGAAAACTCTCATATTCACTCTTTGTCGCGACTGAATCTCGGCTCTGGAAGAATATTTCACTCCCAGGTTCGTAAAGGACACCACTGACAGCCGGTCAGACTTTTTTTGTAATTTCTAGGTGGTACGGGGAGCAATGGAGCGTCGGGTAGTTCCGTAGGTGATGGGCCGTCAATCACGTGACATTGGTCACGAGCTGTGGACAGACACGACGTTAAGTTCAATCAAAATCAAAATGTCTTGGCACATATGAAGGAGGTCAAAGATTTGGAGAATGGCTACAGGAAACCCGATTCCTCACAGATATCTGCCCATAATCTTGAGGTTTCAAGTGTCGCGAAAAACCAGCAAACGAAGGAAGGAAGATAAGCAATTTAGACTCCTTTTTTTTCTAATTTATTTTTCCGGTAGTGGAGGTTAACAGGGAGTGTGGGTTGACCTGCGCAGAGAATGGCGCCGAGCAAGTATCTTACCACCACAAATAAGAGCCTAACAAACTGCGGGAAGTAGCTATGTGAATGCACCTCCTTTATATGTTACATAGTTTAATTTTGTTTTTTTGCTTTCCTTTAAAACATGTAGAAGCCCAGAGATTAAATCCTGGCGTCTTTTGTCTCAGTAGGGACTTAATAGGGTTACTCGCTTGACGCGTGATCCGCCAGACGTTAAATAAAGATAAATAAATAAATAAATCAAAATCTCAAATCACGATCAAACTTGGATATCACGCTCTGTCAAATTTATTTGTGCCGTCTAGGGTGCTGGGAACTATTGTACCTTTATTGATACTGAAGTCCCCCTGACTATTTACCACATACCTTAGGGGACTATTCTCAACACCTGTCAGTAGTTTCCCCTACGAGCTTCCAGCACTCACTGTAGAGTCTGCAGAGCCGAGATTGAATAGCAAGTCCTAACTTCGATGAGGATTCCCAATCGCTTTCGCCGTCTGTATCGTCTACATCTCTCAACACATTCCCCTATCACCATTATCAAGATGCTAACCACCATCAGATCAGATGGTAGGGTCGGAGCCCTACTCATCACCAAACCTTGGTCATGGAGGAGATGCCATTGGATGAGTTTCCGGATCGGACCCAGCACCCGATACGGAGATGGCGGATTGGATTAAGTCGGCGTCGAATGTTACAAAGAAGGGAGATATAGATGAATATGCGCACCTCATGTGGCCCCGGTGTCTAAACCTCGCCTGGCTGGGGCTTCAGGTTTTTTGAGACTTTTTCCCGCACACGCAGTTTCCAGTGCTACCTTTTTTTTTGGTTGAAGGTTCGGTTGAAAAGGCGGCCGATTTCCACGGGTAAATACTGAGCTGAACGGCTATTCATCAAAGGGAATATATCAATGATCTGTCAAGAAACATGAGAGGCAAGGAGCACGGTACAAGGTGTGGCCTGGGTCAGAGAGGAGCCAAATGCGCTAGATAGCCATAGACTCGAGTAGTGCAATAGACAACACACACATACATACCACATACCTTATCCTTGGTGACCACAAATACCCGAAGTCGAAACCCCGGGAGAAACAACAATCCCAACATGGCCAATAGTTACCTCTCGGTCCACATCCCAATACCCGTTTTCCATCAAGTTGTAGAGCTCCATTAGTGCAACGGTCCCCCAACAGTCAAGATCTGAGTTTGTGTAGGACGGCTAAACTTAATCCTTGCGGGTATTCGTAGAGTAGTAATTTTGTAGAGGGTGACGGCCCGTAATTCATGAGGTAAGCTCCCGTTCGCAAACGATTAACTTCATCATCGAGCGATGAGGCGACATGGTTTGTGGTGAGATTAAGTTAGAGGCCTTGCATGAGAGTTATAGGGCAGATACTAATGAGCAGTAGTTAGCTATCGACATGCCCGCGTTTTATTTCTGCTTTGTTTTAGATGTAATTCTTCTGGGCTATTACAATTACGAAAATCATGAAGAGCGCTAATACCGGCACCGCCGAAATGTGAAAAATAGACCCTTCCGCCAAGATTTTATGTAAATGGTCTTGTCACCTGTGGAAGCTTCCAATTCTTTTCTGGAAGGTTCATAGTCAGTTCGGCTGGGAAATGGTAAGGTTGGCATGCGACGTGTGCCAAGTAACATATCGTAGAGCACACTAGGATATTCTCACGCGTACGTGCTCAATAATTTGATACTCTTAGCCTTAGTCAGCGCAGACTATTGGTACAGATGTTGAAATAGCTTTAGCCGGGGCGCACAAGTGGGCTAGAAAGTTGCCTCGTGTCAAGTGGCCTAGCCCCACCTGTCGAGTGGCGATGTAGCCTTGACGGCTAAATTCATCCACTTCATCAGATCCAGCCGGTTCCCACGCTCAGGCTCCCGCAATAGTCACACGTCCATTGCCCGCACTGACTCAGACTCCAGATTCATCAGAGCGAAGTGTCTTTCTAAACACTCAAGTTCATGGCCATGTTTTGCTCTGTAATAGAATCTTGGGCCTTCCAGTGGTGGGAAGAAGTTCCAGCAAGGGAGATTGTGGAACAGACTTAGCTTCTTCAGGCTCTAGTCAGTGATTTTTGATAGTTTTTCTTGACACGTACGCAATCTCCACCAAAAACAAACCGCAAAGCCCTTTTCATGACGCTATTACTTCTCATTTTTCACGATCGAAATTACGCTGCCAAGCCAAGGACGCTCGTGGTGCCTGACTTTTCTAGTATTATCACTTTGAAATGACGATATTATTGTTTCTGACAGTAGGGATAGGATTCAAATCTACTCAATTATTATCCAGCCGAATCACCCGTAGACTAACCCTTGAGTCTCCCGATTCAAACTGTGGACAGATTTCTTCGCTTGGGTCAGCGCAACGATTGCTAGTATCGCTGTACGTCTCGTGTTATGGATCTCGCTAGATGTTCAGTGTTAATGGCTAATCGACATGCTTGTATTCCATTTCAAATACACCAAGAACTCGACATCTCATCCTATAGCGTCGCCGTGAGCAAAATATCTGTAGTAGGTCAAATCTCAGTAAGTCAGAAGCGATGCATTACATGCATTGAGTCAGCCCGACTAATGGAACCTCAAATTTTACCTTGCTCAAGTCGTGGGGATTTAAGCCCGATACGCGGTATTACAATCCGGGGAGAACTTGTCAGCCCGTTCGAAGTTTAATTGGTTGCGATACAGCTGAGGCTGTTGAATCGTCGAGCAGGTGGTGGAAACGTAGAAGTTGGAGAGACCACGTACGCTTCAATTCAAACACCAATGGAATTGCACACATTAATCTTGGATTCTCGGCGGCGGTGGATCAAGTCAAGATCAGTAAGAGAGCTGAGACAGTAGGGCATAGATCATGAAATAGCATGATTACGTTCGCTACTGATACTTCCTAGGATTCAACGTTCTCCTCATAGTCTATTATTACACCTCAGCCCGTACGCGATCGGGCGCTATATTTTACTTTCCCGACAGACTGGACGTGGTTGTGAGTGGGTCGTCTGGTCTCTAAATTAGATTCGCGAACGTGTCTCCAGTGCTTCATTACTCTGGCCTTGTGTTTAACACCGTTGGTTCCACTGACATGTTGCATTTATTCGAAGCTAGATCGATTGATCCATGCCAATACATGAGACCCTGGATTCAGATTATTCTATGTTCTTAATCCAATAGAAAGCCAGAAAACTAGCCTGGTACCGGTGCCGAAACCTGGGCCAAAACTAGTCAAAGCGATCCTGACTCGAATAGATGAGCTCCTGAAGCCAGAGCCGCGAGTATTGCCATTCATTTGTCAGGCGTTTCCTAATGCTGTAAATTCCATACCACTTACTCGCAATTCTCGTAGCTTCTGCGTATGAGTGTTTCTTTTTCGGGTTCACGCGATCTGGCCTTTCAAGCCACGCTACTAAGCGAGCCAATCCTCGCGTGTGCTATGCCCAAAGACCAGATGTCCTCGCTGCAGAACCATATAAGGCAAGCTGAACAGCTCTACCTTCTCGCATCGTTCACATTCAACATACACGCAGAGTGGCAAAAACCCAGAACACCATGTCGGTCAATATTCAGAGGAATTCATTGTTCTTAGGCCTATCTGCCATGTTTTACTTTTTACTTCTTTTATCTCCATTCACCTTATTGGGTACCGTTCTAGCAGAGGATCAGGCTCCTCTACAGGAACCCCTTGGAACTGGTTGGTTGAGATATATCCACTAGTCTATCAGAGCTAATTCAGAAACAGTTATCGGAATTGATCTTGGAACTACATACTCATGTGTCGGTGTTATGCAAAAGGGAAAAGTCGAAATATTAGTCAATGACCAGGGTCACCGCATCACACCTTCATACGTGGCATTCACAGATGAAGAGAGATTAGTAGGAGATGCGGCCAAGAACCAGGCTGCTGCGAACCCAAAGCGAACCATATTCGACATTAAGTAAGTTTAACAGTATGGATAATCTCGGCTTTACTGACGATTTAGGCGATTGATTGGTCGTAAGTTTGACGACAAAGACCTTCAAAATGACATGAAGCACTTCCCTTTTGATGTGGTAAACGACAAAGGCAAACCGGCCGTCGAGGTTGAAGTGAACGGATCACCAAAAAGATTCACTCCTGAGGAGGTTTCAGCTATGATTCTAGGAAAGATGAAGGAGGTTGCCGAATCATATCTCGGCAATAAAGTCACCCACGCGGTTGTAACAGTACCCGCCTACTTCAATGATAATCAAAGACAAGCAACCAAAGATGCAGGCGCTATCGCCGGCCTTAACGTTCTCCGAATTGTTAACGAACCTACCGCCGCAGCTATCGCTTACGGTCTTGACAAGACTGAGGGCGAGAGACAAATCATTGTGTACGATCTCGGAGGTGGAACCTTTGATGTTTCGCTGTTATCTATCGACCGTGGAGTGTTTGAAGTTTTGGCAACCGCAGGAGACACCCATCTCGGAGGAGAAGACTTCGACCAAAGAGTCATCAACTTTTTTGCCAAAAAGTACAACAAAGAGAACAATGTAGACATCTCAAAGGACCTCAAGACAATGGGTAAACTCAAGCGTGAAGCTGAGAAGGCAAAGCGTACCCTTTCATCTCAAAAGACAACTCGTATTGAGATCGAAGCTTTCCACAATGGCAATGACTTTTCCGAGACTCTTACTAGAGCCAAATTTGAAGAGTTAAACATCGATCTTTTCAGAAAAACCCTTGAGCCTGTAAAGCAGGTACTATCTGACGCCAAGGTCAAGAAATCCGAAATAGATGACATCGTTCTAGTCGGTGGATCGACCCGTATTCCTAAGGTTGTTGAGCTTATAGAGGAATACTTTTCGGGAAAGAAGGCATCCAAGGGTATCAATCCTGATGAGGCGGTAGCTTTTGGTGCTGCTGTTCAGGGTGGAGTTCTCTCCGGTGAGGAAGGTACAGAAGACCTAGTCCTTATGGACGTCAACCCCTTGACACTTGGTATTGAAACAACTGGGGGTGTTATGACCAAGCTCATCCCAAGAAACACCGTTATCCCAACTCACAAATCTCAAATATTCTCCACTGCCGCCGACAACCAGGCCGTTGTTCTTATCCAAGTATTTGAGGGAGAACGCACTATGACCAAAGACAACAACAACCTGGGTAAATTTGAACTTGCCGGTATCCCGCCAGCGCCCCGTGGAGTTCCCCAAATCGAAGTTGCATTTGATCTAGACGCCAATGGAATCTTAAAGGTCCTAGCCGCTGACAAAGGCACTGGAAAGTCTGAGTCTATCACCATCACAAATGATAAGGGACGACTTACTCAGGAAGAAATCGAACGCATGGTAGCAGAGGCTGAGAAGTATGCCGACGAGGACAAGGCCAAAAAGGAACGAATCGACGCCAGGAACGGTCTGGAAAACTATGTTTTCTCCCTCAAGAATCAAGTCGCTGATAAAGAGGGTCTTGGCGGTAAAATTGAGGATAGTGACAAAGAAACAGTAAGTGCTTATGATCTGACATATACCACATAAATACTCCAATTACACTTTGCTAACTATCTCTAGTTGGAAGAAGCAATCAAGCAAGCTAGCGCCTGGCTCGAAGAGAGCGGGAGTGAAGCCACTGCTGAAGATTTCGAGGAGCAAAAAGAGAAATTATCTAGTGTTGCTTACCCAATTACTAGCAAGATGTACAACGCTGCCGGTGAGGCTAGCGGAGAAGATGAACCAGAGAAGCATGATGAGTTGTAGAAGTGTTTTCCAAAAAAAGACTTTTTAGTCGTGTATTTTAACATGTTAAAATCGTGGGTTACTGCTTGTTAAGATTTAGGTTTGCTTTCATGAATGTCACATGGATCTAGATTTGTATCTCTGCATCGGAAATGAATGTCGTGAAAAAAGTCTCACGCCTCAAAAACCTTGCTATTAAAATGGGAAATCAATTATCTATATGGCGAACCTACAAAATGATAAAATGTATGTGATCAGTGTTCTAGCGAATTCGAATGTTCCACTCCAACGTGATAATACAGTTATTACAGAGTTGAGATGTAATTTTAAGTTGAATGGTATTTACAGTCGGAAATCTGTACTGTCGGTATATGCCCACGGCTTTTATGTCATTATTAATTCACGTTTTTTGGTACTACCTGAATCTATGACTATGTAGGACAAGCACATCCTCTTTTCCTGCAGGCCATGGATACCTGCACCAGTAGAATATCCTCTCCCTTGCCTCCCACACATCTCCCCTCAAACAGTACCAACCCTGACAAGTCCTCACTCGATCATTCCCATAGGGGAGCCCTTTACTCGTAATTATCTGCCCTCTCCAGCCAACTAAACGATGGCCATTTGCGGATGTATATCTACGGGGAAAAGCCTCCAAAAACACTAGGTGCAGGGCTCTACCATTACGAAGAGGCCGGCCAGTCGGGCACAGCAGACCAGAGTAAAAAATTAATTATTCAGTAATCCTGATTTTGCGCCTTTAGGCCCTTGCAGGATTTTATTGGAAGATATATACTTTAAGTAGGATGACACAGCATGATGCTTAGAACAATCCCTCAAATTTCATTGTAGACACCAGCCAAGGTTAACCCTTACGGCGTATAACCTCTCCCGTACATACCCACCACAGGGAAAAGCGTGAAAAATCTGTGGCTATCTGAGTGTGCTTTCATCATCCCATGAGTACAATATCACCGCGAGAGAGAGTGGTGTGTGGGTCTTACTGGATCCAAACCAGTATTCTCCTGTCTCAAATGGGGTAGGTGTTCAAGCTACAAAGTATCTACTTGGGAGAATGGCCCGAATGGTGTACCGCTGCACCATACGACCCAGACCTGTGTATACCTGAGAGCGTTTCTAAGCCTGCCTAACCTCCTCCCTTGATTCAAACTGTAGGACCACTTCCTTCAAGATAACACATGCAGTTTTAGTGGGAAAGAAAGACAAAATGTGCAGCATTTGATATTACACTATCCAAAATTCAAAGACCGGAGGAAGAGATGCTTCAAGGGCATAGAACCAATAACACTTCCGACCTTGTTTGTACCAAAAGAGGGAAGGAAGCATTACTGAAATATTTGGATACATCTAAGTGCATGGCAGCACATAAAGGGAGTCAAATTAGGATATATGATTGGGAACTAACATATTTTCAATGAAGGGGCAGTGATTCACTAAGAGGAGAAGACTAGAATTATACATGTTTCATTGCTTCATAGCTGAATACACTTTGATTTTTTTTGAAAAAAATAACTGTAGGACGAACCGATGGATATTAAAGGATATCAGTAAAGCCTTCGTCTAGAATGATTGCCATGAGGGAGCCTTGCCTAGCATCCAGAATTCGTGGCGAACGTGGGTAGCACATGTTGTGATATAACGAACGCTTCTCTGACTACGATTGTAGCGTGGGAGACTATTCTCCACACCTGTCGGTGGTGTCCCCTACGAACCTCCAGCTCTCACTGTAGAATCTTCAGAGCCGAGATTGAGTAGCAAACTCCTCGCATAGATGAGGATTGCCAATCGCTTTCGCCGTCTGTATCGTCTTCATCCCTAAGTAGATCCCCCTAACACCACTATTATGAGGCTAACCACGATCAGATCAGATGGTAGGGTCGAAGCACTTCTCATCATTACCACCCCTTGATCATGGAGGAGAAGCCACCCGAAGAGTTTCCGGAGCGTACCCAGCACCCGGTACAGAGATGGCGGATTGGATCAAGTCGGCCTCGACTGTTACAAAGAAGGGAGATCCAGATGAATATGCGCACCTCATGTGGCCCCAGTGTCTAAGCCTCGCCTGGCTGGGGCTGCAGAGATTTTAAAAATTTCCCCTCCTAAGGCATTACAAGTGCTACTTTTTCAGCATATTCTGTTAGAGAAACAGATCATGTCCTAGTAGATAGAACGTGGAACCTCCAGTATGGATTAAACGACTCGCTTAGTTACGAGGCGTGCACTGTCTGGACAATAGACGAGTCAGTTGTTATTCAACGAGTAATATAAGTGACGAGTTGTAGAGACGATCTGTCAAGTGAAGGAGTAGTCATTCTTTGTTGACACAAGTCATTGACAGAGTACTTCTCAGTTATACGAGTAAATGAGACACGTTTAGAATAGAGTAGATAATTGGAACACAGCTTGGTGGATGGGGACTTCTATAAGACCCAACTCATATCACTACTGTGGGACATCAATTCAATCCTGATTCATCTATGGCTTACATTTACTGTGCAGTGTCTCTTATCAAGCAATACAAATGATCAGAGTACGTATATTTTAATATATTCTGTTGAAAGGCTCCGTAAAAGAGAAGTCCCAACTGTGCTGGACAGTTCCTATCGTAATGTCTGTTTATCATGGACATTTTATCAGATATCAGTTTTCGCGACATAAAAGGGGAGGCTGAACTGTACAAGGTGTAGCCTGTGTCAGAGAGGATCTAAATGTGCTAGAGATTTAGTAATTCGATTAGCAGGATAGATTCCGGACTCATACGCACATATACAAACTGAGTATCATAAATCATTTCAAAGGCACATAAAAATTGACGGCGACAAGCCACTTTCCAATCACTCACAGCCCAATCCAGTTGTAAATGTAATTAACCGAATTCTTACCTAGTTGCATAAATCGTATCTCGGAGCACGATTATTTTTTAGATTAATTAGGTAGCAATTAGTTTCATTATAGTGCCCTCCATATAGCCCAATCACATCAGCTTTATCGACCTCAGGAAAGGCATGACCTGTTCCTTTGCCTCTGCAGCATTTCGTCCACCTCTGTCATCTGAAAATTTTCTATCCAACCATGATTTAGGATCCACTGTGTTGTCCTTTTGTTGTCATATACAATATGGATGGGCGTGTGTAAGCAATGAGACATTACGTGAACTAAACCAAGTGTGGCTAGCAAGGCATGGTGAGGGATTAGCCGAGGCTCGTGCGTAGGGTATTAGGAACACTTCTATTGTAAAGATAGATAGGGCCGCTTCATCCCTTTTATATACACATATATGTACATATAGATTCTAATTAATTTAATCTCCACACCTTGCTCTACCCTCAGCTCCGCAGACTATTAAGCTCCAAACTCCAAGACGTCGTACATAACCTCATAACCATAAAACCTTTTGATATCTCCAGGATTGTTTAGCATAGCTTCGTAGGACCGATCTTTCGCTTATCTTCAGATCTCTCCTCTTCCATTTGACTATCGAGGGCAGGATATAATCATGTCCTTGGGGTTCTGCGATTGGTAGCTACATGGACAGCTTGGACTGTAGACTCCGGGTACTTTTCTTCTGTATAAATACGAGTTGAGCCCCATGTGCTCACTTCGTACTTGAATCCCTAGACTGCTTTGGGCCCTTGTCAGGTTTCGGTGGAGTAGGAATGGCGATTCCTGGAGACTTATTTTCCATCGATCCGACTTTCGGTTCTAATAGAACTTGACTGCTCTTCAGGTTTCTGGGTCGGCTATTGATTTATGTCGAGGTTATTGGAGCCGCCTTTGATTTTTCCAGGATTTAGCCTATTCTTGAGATGCCGCGACTTTTTCCGCCTCTTTCTGCCGTTTTTGTCACTGGTCTTCCCCATAGATTTTCACCTACTTTGCCAGATCTAATCTTATGTGATTGGCACGAATATCTTCTCTCCCTCGTTTGGGCAGCTTGATATTACTACAGGCAGATTGTATGAGCTTCTGAACTGGTAGGTTTTCCGAGCGGCCAACGTATTGAAGTCTTTGCTGCTTCAAGTTTCACCATCTTAATATTGCAGTTCCTATATTTGTGGGCGGATGTATATAAAAGCTAAACTCTCTCTGATAAAATAAAATACTTATAGACACATTTATCTCTCTCCTGATCCTATTCTTACAATGGTATCTCGTTCCCCATCCCCATTCTCATCATTGGTCATTAATCACTTATTCTAATATCAAACCTGATCGGTTGTCAAGTCATTTCGAAGTTCATCAAAATATTTATCGCGCCAAAACACAGTACAAGAGAGGTCTTGTTTTACAAATTGAGGCTGTCATGAACCATGATATTACTTGTCCGTTTCGAATTCTTTGACGACCAGTATCAGGCGCAGGTTCACGAGGCGTAGGAGAGGGCGAAGCATACGAGGTGCTGAGGATGGATGGCTCGTGGGAACTCGGACGGCTTCTAGAGAAGTGATAAAGGAGATAGCGAGGAGTCGCTCGACATAAAGTGACAGAAGGTGACGGTAGGTCGCTATGGCTGGCAGAGGTCGAGAGTGAGATGTGGTTAGAATTATATAACTATTCCTAAAGACATAGAACAAAGCGTGAAGAACCTCAGTCGCGGGAATGAGAACCACATAATTGTCCTCGCTAGACAACTAAGCATAGGGAGTGCAGCTGATACTATATACACAAGCCAACGATGGAAGGTGTTGTGGTCCGCTTCCTGGTGCTGTTCTCTGGTATAGTCTGAGTAGCCTGGGCACCTACTCCACTTGGGAAGGAGACATCTCAGATCATATTTCGCGCGGAGAAAAGCTGAAAGATGATAGAGGCATGTCTAGATAACTCAGGGTTTTTGAGACGTTCCCCTGTGTGGGTAATGACGGATGAAGGTTGACTTGGGGTGAAGAAAAAGCCGCCATAACTTCGCAGAGGTACTTGCAAATGACATCCGAGGTATGAGTGCTCTTCATTTATATTGAAATATCTTTTATGTACTATTCTTTGATATTGAGTCATAGCTAGATAGCCGCATACGCAATTAAAATCTGATGCAAAATAAAAATAACCTGCTGGGATTGAACAATGGGCCTATACACCCTATCAGAAGCATTTCTTCTGAACCCTTACATCCAGTGACAGCAAGTAGCGTACTCAGGATTATGTAGAGTTTGTCTCTAAACATTAAAGTTCGGTGGTTTTTCCGAAAATGAAGTGTAATGCTCTCCTCTCGATCAAGGTTTTATACATATTGATGGTTAATGAATCTAATTACCACTTGAAATAAAAATATCAGTATCACCTTCTTTCTTACTTAATACGATTCAATCCATCCCGTCAATCCCCATTCGTTAAGATAATTACATTCATCACGGAAGTGACTTACATTTTCATCCTCTGAATTGTCCCATCAACTGCCTCGATTATTGGATCGTACAGTTCTTTTTCATCCATATCTTTATCTATGTAAAGTTCATTATCCTTCAAAAACTGTTCCCTCCAAATTTCCGACACAAGTGGCTTCAGGTCCTCAAACATCGGCGAGAAAAGTGGCAAAAGTTCATTTTTGAAGAAATCTTCTTGCAAATGACCTTTTTTTTTCGAAAATATTTCTTCCGCAGTCCCAATATACCATGTCATTAATAGACCTTCGTATGGTGATTTGTCATCTGTCCAGCCACATCGTATGCAAATCCACAGCAGTACATAGAAGAATGACTCCACATCATGACGGTATTTGTGACTGACGCCGACTCCGGTGCTCGAACAACTGCCCTTCAAAATCTCCAATGCCATAAATTGGGTTGTGCCAGTCATCACCCCTCTCTTGTCTTGTTCTTTACCACTCTTGAACAAAGTAGCCAGTTCCAGGTCGATAAGTCTGCCGCCACAGTCTGTCGTATCTTCAGGGCCGATCAAGATGATGTTGTTCACTGAGATATCTCTATGAAGTATCTTCGCCTCAATCAGTAGTGACATATGCGCCTTGATGGCATCACGTAGCCCAACTACGAGCTCTAAAGCGCAGTTGAACTTATAAATCAGACGTCCAAACGGTGTTATTGCAATAGCCGCTTGCTGACGGTCACGGATTACTGCATGCTTGACCTTTACAATCTTGAAGCCTGGTATTTCAGCATCCGCAGACATTCCAGAGTTGGAGACGTTAGGTGTAGCACTCATGCCAAGTTGGTTTACATCGGTCCCACGACTGGTCACTGAACCAACCACATCACTAGCTGTAGCCCCTCTATGATTACTGAAAAGATGGAGTCTCTTGACTCGGTCATACACCTCAGACTCCTCAGGTATTGATCGCTTTTCCCCGATGAACTGATTGGACTGTCGTTCGTGTATCCGACTGCTACGTCGTGGTGGCTTTTTTGGGACGGCTGGCGAGCCATCAGCCGAGTGAGGATGTTCTGGTTCTTGCGCAGGTCTTGTGGATCTTGAGCATATTTCGACCACTGGAATACTTCGCGTGGTTACTGATCCTATTTGTATGTTAGTAGGTCTTTGGACAGTCATGCATTTGTTAGCTAGCCGTTTTTGCTACTTCTTGCTCTTTTACTAGCAGAACCATTGATCCCTCCACAGTAGTTTGATTCGCTTTTCCTTATCTGCACTACTGTCTTGCTCGTACTCTTCTTCGGAACACTCACTTGCTTCTCGACAAACACCGTTGGCGTGGCGAACAACTTCTCTTTTGGTCGGCAGTCTTTCACCATCTGCCGTGTAAACTCAAGGCCCTTCCGGAGATTACCTATCGTTTCAAGGTGACGCCATTCAAGTAGCTTTGCCATTCCCACAACGTTCGTCGTTAGCTTGAGTAGCTCCGCCTCAGAGTTTCGTCCCGTCATTCTCCGTGAGAACTTCACCACAAACTTCTTGTTGATATCGCGATAACAGCAAGTGCCCCGAGACACGAGTGCTTTCTGCCATTCGAACGGTTCCGTCTCAAGCGCAAATTCCTGCTTATGATTTGTACCGGGTACCTGCAGCTTGATGACTATCTTGTTATCATGATGTTGAATGGACGGATCAATGCCATGCTTTTCGTCACTCATTAGCATGTACGCCGCAAGAGCATGCACCAGTTCTCTCTGAGATTTGCTAATATCATTGAGGGAGCAAGAGTATGGTCCTTATCGATCATACACCCAAAGCTGCAGTTGAGTTCCGAAAAGAATAAATCCATGCACAAATCGTCGCAGTGGCTGCGCAGAGAAGACCTCGCTCATGTAAACGCTCAACTGGAGAAACTTTCCCAAAAACCTCGACGGGGACGACTTTGTCAGCTCTCCTACCACAACGATATCTCGCCAGTGATGTTTATCTTCAGCAGAGGTGTCTCGTCGTTCTATGAAGTAGTCCACTTGGTTGTCTGTTTGACCTCCAATGATATTGCCAGCTGCGAGAGTATGATACTGGCTTCGATGGAAGGCGTGCGTAAATTTACTAGAGCGAGAGCTCTGTCCTCCTGTCAGTTCCGAATCATTGGAGTTGGAAGATGATTTGAAAATCTCTTTCTCTACGGCCTTCATCCATTTCCACACTGAGGCTTCTTCAAGTTCCGTGGGAAACTTGAGTTTTTCTTCACCGGACCGTTTCACATAGCTATCTGCGATCTCGGCGCATAGTGTGGACCATTCCGGGTCCACCAAGTACTTTTTCCAGAAGCCTTTGACGCCGAGGAAAACGGAACCAGATAGTTCGTGGCACATAGATTCTTTCAGATCTGCCATCGTCTGTGTGGTACCATTGTATGAAACACCAACTCGTCTGTACATTGACTCAGCAGCTAGATTGATTAATTGCTTGCTCGAAATCTTCATGATAGATTCAAGTTTCTCAACAAGCTGAACGAAAAGGTTCCACACTTCAATATCGGACGCCTGGTCCAGTATTGCCTGAGCTAGTGGTTCAAATGGGGTCAGTTCATACGTTCCTGGATTCATCTAGCTGAAAATACTGTTTAGCAGCGATTTAAGGCTTTTGCAGTCGTTGCTAGTGAAATTACCGCGACCAACATATAGACAAAAATGGCTCATAAGACTTCCGACTGGAACTCGACTTTTTTTTTTTATAAATTTTAGGTCCTAAGCTATGCTCTATATCTCCTAGGAGTCAAGGACCGGTGTACACGGCAAAGATCATGCTTCCCACATGCCCGACTCGGTCACACTGCGTGACCCACTACACAACCAGTAGCTAGTTATAAGAAAGAATATAAATGCTCCCACAGACTCCCATAACCAAAATTCCAAATCCAATACTCCAATTTGAGGTGGGAAAGCGACACTCGTCTCGTTTTCCTTCCTGTCATGCTTCGTGCTATGAACTAGTTAATGTTGTCTCCGCTGAGAGCTGGTGACGGACTTGCAGGTGAGTCGCCGAAGCAGCCGGTTTCCTGCGCAAAATTTGTAAAATCCCCAAGGCACTTAGGCCCGAGAAGCTTTTGGACAAAGTCGTGATGTGACATTGTCCCTCGGAGTCGACGCGTCTGGCGTTCGTGCAGTCGACAGTGAATGAAGTGGAGAGGTGATGTTTCCTCTCCACACGTACACTCCATGGAAGCGGTGAAGTTGTTGAAACGACGGTGACGTGCAGCGAAGTTTCCGTGTCCCGTACGGGCTGAGATCAGTTCACGGAGTAACCGCCGAGAAAGTGCCTGCGCCTGTGGCTTGCGTCGTCGCATGAGTAGACCCAGATTTCGATACCTAGGTGGACATGCTTCCTCCCACCATTCCTCGAGAAGAGCTTGACGTTTCTGGTTCATCAGACGACGAACGTACGCCAAAGTGACGGAGCCAGGCTGGCTCTCTTCACTTGGAAGTTGTCGGAGGCCGGAGTGTGCAACTCTATCAGCCTCTTCGTTTCCCTGTATCCCAGAGTGGGCTGATATCCACTGAACCGAGACTCGAGCCTTTTCTGATAGCGCCCTAAATTGGCGTACATCGTCGGGAACTCGACATTTGCTTGAGTCTTTGGGATTTTCAAAAATTTTGTCGCATGGCGTAGTGAAGCTTCCTGCGTATGTTAAGCGGAAAGTATCTAGAATTAAGGACATCGGATTTCTAGCAAGGTACTGTTCAACCTCGATGCTGAGTGTCATTTTGATGTGATGGTAGGTCGATGTGTGTTGGGGTGTTGTGTGTAATATTAAGCAAACAGATCGAAGATTGAAAGGTGACGAACGATTCTTGAAGGGAGCCGGAGGCTTTATGTGATTGAGCTATCATCTGGATTGATTAGTCTAATTTTCATATTTGAAGATGATATATTTAATTATGACTAACTATAGGGCATTCGACATGATAAGTTTGTTAGGCCACACATCAGTCACATTATAGTCGGGAAGGAGGCATAGGAGAGCGTACACTACCCGAGCCATGCATACTCCCGGCCTGTAGGCAGAAAGGACCTACATATCCATACATAGTTGTGGACTTATTGGACAATAAACACTCACTCACTTCCAATGTAATAGCTCATATATGCCGGGTTAGGACGGAGCGTGACTGGTTGGTATCTAAATCCCGGCATATAATCGTTCCTCTCTGTCAGGATGAGAAGCTTCAACGATGACCAATCCATTGCAATTGTTGCTAGAAGAAATTGATAAGAAGATGTTGGTGATATGTCATATACAGCTGACGCAGAATATTTGACTGGGTAGCAGGATCTTTTAACACAGCACATGTGGGTTACCACGGTCATTCATTTTGAATAATCTTCACATGGCTCCCTTTCCTGCCGCTCGCAACTATTTCTAGTCGCGAGACGTTTTTTATGCCTCAGCTGTTTATGTCAAATTTAAGATGGTCGTGATTAATTTTTTTTAAATTCCAACTTACTTTCGCGGGGAGTTGAACATTGCGCAATCCAAGGATGGACTGATGTCATTTTGTTTTAGCGCACAGTTGGTGCTCAAGGTACCTGTACATAATTCATTTTTACCTGATTTGGCGCCTTGAGGCCCATGCAGGTTTTTATCGGAAGATATTTACTTTAAGTAGGATGACACAATTTGACGTTTAGAACAATCACACTCAGATTTCATCTGCAGACACCACTCGAGGTTAACCCTTACGGCGTATAACCTCTTCCGTGCATACCCACCGTAGGGAAAAGCGTAAAAATCTGTGGCTATCCGAGTGTGCTTTCATCATCCTACAAATACAATATCACCGCGAGAGAGTGTGGTGAGTGGGTCTGACTGGATTCGAACCAGCCTTCTCCTGTCTCGAATGGGGTAGGTGTTCAAGCTACCCAGTATCTACTTGGGAGAACGGCCCGGATGGTGTACCACTGCACCATCCAACCCGGTGCTCAACGTATAATGCTCCTACTACTCACCGCTCAATTTACGCTTTCTTGTCTGCGAATTATTTGGTCAGATTATGACACTTCGGTCGTAGACTATAAGCTTTCTACGAATCCTTACAACTAATCGATTGTTGAGAACTGGCTGGGGACTGGGCATGTTGGGTTGAAAATGGATGCAAAGTCCGATAATTGGGAATAACTATCATTAGTTTAACAATTTAATTGCTGGTAAATAAGATCATCGATGCGTCGGAAAGGCAAAAAACATATGAGGGATTTGTGAATAAAGCAACGCAAATGGTTTGAACGCTATATACACCTCAAACTTCGTGACCCAATGTGATCTCAAATCTGACGAGGCGTGGCATCTGGCAGTATGCAATGGCCAGTAGACACAGCCAATAGTTTGCACAAAAGACCTCACAGAATGAATGTATTAAGTAGAGAGCAAAGTCAGGTGTTTCTCCCTAGAGCGGTTTTATTTTGTTTATTTACGTGCTAAGTACGTGTAACCCATCGCAATCCCACTGGAGCTTGAGCACGAGTGAGGCCGTGCCGGATCAGGCTAACTACCGTTAAGTACAGATATCCCTCATCCCATCTAAATGACCGGATCACCTCAGATTTAACCTATGTGTTGAACTATACCAAACCTGACTTTCCAGAAACCCGCTGTATACACGCCGTAGCGCAACTTCCTACACAGCGTCGGCCACCACGCGCTCGTGCTCTTGATACGCTTAATGACTCCGAATGTTGGTACAATACGGTATACGCGTGTGAATAAAAGGCAATAAATAGATTCAATTAAACGATACAATAATATTCACATATATTCATTCTATCTATCTGTTCTAGCCCTTTGGTATCATGTAAGAATGCCAAGGGAATATTACGTAAATAGCACTACTATTACAATTGGTTAATACATATTCTGCTTATTAATGTGCACATGACTCCTGTTCCAACACCGAGATATGAATGCCGTCCGAGATCTCATAGGTTCTACAGCCTTGCATCACCATACTGTATCGTTGGGTTCTTGTCATCATTGGGAATCTTTGTGATCAGCTCGGTGTATATACCCTTTTCTTACCCATTTATACAAGTGCCGTTCTATCACGACTTTCCTCATTAGGGCGTGTACAGGTAGGTAATATGACAAGTATGGAGGTTGGTCGCAGGTGTAGGATCGACTGAGATATGGATCGTCGCAAATATATAAGGATTGTGTCAGAGATTTCAGATGTTTGAATACGACCCCCAGACAGACCTAGGTCCATTCATAAATCGTATGTTGGTGGTGATAAGTTTTTGTTCCAATTTCTTGCGATTTTGAAATTTCTGCCGACTGATTTATCGACCAAAATATCAAGTGCAACTCCTTCAAAGCGAAAATCCATCAATTAAATTTCCCGTCCTTTTTCGTAGCTAAACCTCGGCACCGGAAGAATATCTCACTCTCAGGTTCTTCAAAGACACCACTGATAGGTGTTCTGCTTTAGTCCTCCTCTCCCTTGAGCTTAGACGTAGACTAGTCAAAAGACAAGGTCCGAGCAGTCAAGGAAGAGGAACAATGAAGGTCGAGTAATATACAGCGATATTTACTGAGTAACAATATTAAACAAAGCCGGTAAAGACGAATTCCTAACCTGCCAGTGGAGCGGGTGTAATCGCTGAGTATGATCTGCATATCTGGGATGGCCAAGAAGAATCGCATCCGAATCGAATTCGAAAGCAACCTCAAGCTATCTCCATTCGATGACTTCTCGACAATGCCGCTCTCACAATTCTCATCTGAGTCCTCAACCTATTTCTAATCCCGAATCATCTCGCCTGAAAGACCAACAAAGAATTTGCTCCAATTGTAAATGGGAGCCTGCCCCATTAATTTCCAGCCGTTTCTCACTACATATTAACGACGCTATTTATACCCGCAAGGAAACCAAGTCAAAAAATACAAAGACTGGGTCCTGGCTTGTGGGGACTGTTGCTCTAGTGGGACAAACATCTCGAGGAAGGACAGGCGGCTGAGATGTGGAACGAAAGGGGGGAGGCCAAAGACTGAATACCTGTAAGTGATGTCTACGAACCTGGGAGTGAAATATTCTCCCAGACTCAAGCTCAGTCGAATTTTGCAATTCCGAAGGATTTGGCCCACGACGCAATGATCAAAGACTCTCTACGAAATCAAAATCTCCCATCCAACGAGATAGATCTCCACAGAAAACTCAAAAAGTTTACAAGTACAACCTAGTACATCCTTGTTTCAATGACCACACCTTTCATCGACCATTCACTGGCGTAAGCTGGCCACCAAATATATTTCCTCGCCCAGATTTACACCCCATGGAAGAAGCAAAGCGTGGCACTCAAATTTTGGAGACGGCTCTTTAGGATAGACGAGAAAAAGATTAGGACAAGTTTACGATTTGACATGGATGATGGCTACCATCTTGACGGTTGTTAGATTCTGAATTGTGGCAAGGAGTTACACAAATTGAGCCTTATGCGCGCCAAGACTTCGCTTGCGAGAGTGCAGCTGACACTATGAACACAAGCCAACGATGGAAGGTGTTGTGGTCCGCTTCCTGGTGGTATTCTCTGGTATAGTCTGAGTAGCCTGGGC